AATTATAGAATTTATGTTTTGGGATCAAAAATGGGACAAATCACGTGATTTCAGTTTTTAAGTGTCAAGCACTGTATAAATGTGTAAACGTGAGTCACGCCACCCACCTGGGACATATATAGTCTTCTGTTCAAAAGACAAACGACCCACTGCTGGTACTGGTAACGCGCGTGATTTGATCCAAATGATTATAATTCAATCAACGAGTAAATTGTTTACAATTGCAGTATATGGTAGTGCAGAAGTAAGATCAGGTTCATCGTCGCATGAAAAACCTTGGATTAAATTATTACATCAATAATTGGAACTTTATAAACATTATTTGTGGTGTATGGAACGAGGAGATGATTGAGCGTTTTAATAGTTAATGATTTATTTATTTTTTTACTATTTTATAAATATACTGGAAATAAATTAGGATTTTCTATAATTATAATTACAAAGCAACAATTACATCTCTTCAATCTCCTCTTCTGGATAATCACCAACTTTAACTTTATTTGGACGAACGAATGCACCATGGTTTGGCGCAGCTTGGAAATAAATTTCACCCTGGACACTTCAAGAAAAGGATTATAAAAAAGTTGATACAAGACAAATTATACAATGAAATTATAAAAAACCATTACTCACGTGCCATTGTGTTTCCCGACCGGTTCATCATATTCAACGCCGACCCAATATCCCGATTTAAATTTAGTTTCACCTGATATTTAATCGATCGATAAATAAAGATTATCGATTATCGAATAACAATTAACGATAATTTAAAAGACAACTCACCGACATATCTCACTACTCCACGTCTCTTAAATCCATCTTCACCAGATTCGCCAAAGTCCACTTCACACCGATCGCCTACTTTAATATTTTTCGCTTCTTCCTCAAATGTGTAAGATGCATCTGATGTGCTTGATTGCGAATCAGCAAATCGACCAAGTTTATTACGTTGTTTAAAGGCCAGTACAGAATCTAATATCCAAAGAGTTAACTTAGCATTTAATAAATGGATGAATGTTAACATATATGCTATTTTATACCGGTTCTTTTCGCATATTCATCTTCTGGTAATTCATATTTTTCGACAAGTGATACATCGGTAAATCGATTTTTTGTTCCAGTTGGATTTGAATCAATTACCTAAGAATTCACTATTGCTTAATTTAATTAATCAATTAATAGATTTGTTTTTCTTTCAAAAATTAAACTTGACTTACCTTTAAAGTCATATAATTATCTACCGGGAATGCACCTAACATGTAATCATCTCCTTCAACAGAAGCAACAAAGGTATCACCATTATATAATTGTAATTGCTGTGAGGTTGTTGAGATCCCGGTTATAGGTTCAAGTTTTACCTTAAATATTCAAAAGTTGCAATACTCAGTATATCGCTAGATTATAACAAAAACTCGGGAAATAGGTTCTGTATTTACTCTCAAATCTCTTATCGAAATGCCTTTATCGAACCGCCGTTCTGACGACGCGTTCTCACTTTGAACAAATATCGTTACTATTGACATGTTGGCAATCTTTATCGTTATTAAATCTCTTGTGTAGAAATCTATTTATAATTATGCATGTGATCGGCGTAGGGATTAATTTGTTTAAATTTGTTCAATGAAATTAATAAATAAGGATTGATTTTCATTGGCTAAAATCTGTATATCGATAACCAAAATCCTATTCTCCATTTTGTTGAAAAATTATATATATAACGATAATTCATTAATCTAAAAAACTGTCATTTGATCACTTACTCATTACTTCGGCTCCCACATCATGTATCCAGACACAAAGCGTAAGCTTTTTGTCGCTGCAGAAAGAGCTGCAAACACGCTAATACGAACAGTAGGACCACTCTTCATCGTGTTAGCAATCGCCTTGATCGGAATGGCAGTTGCCGTGTACTTTACGGTGGTTTTTCCGTATTTTTACACATGGGACGAAGACTATATATGGACGAAATTTCGGTATTACGCAGGACTTGTTTTTAGTATATATATAGTGGTTTGTATCGCTTTTCACTATTATATGGCGGTGAGGACAAGGCCTGGCGGCGTTCTCACTGGAAGCACAGCACCTACGTCATCGGTGAGTTAGGTGCCTAATTTCTACGTGTATTTTGTTCACTGTATTTTTTGGTTGTGCATATTATTTTTTAAATTATTCATTATCAACGTTTGATGATGATAATATGACAGGAAGCACAAGATCCATCCATACAGGATTTATTTTTAGAGCTAGAAGAATACCAAGAATATCCAAAAACATGTAAAAAATGTACGTGTCTGGATTATTAGTAATTCAAATAATAATTTGTATTCAGACATTCAATAAATAATTTCTTTAGGTCATTTGCCAAAACCAGAACGTGCGCATCATTGCTCAGTTTGCAAACGTTGTGTCTTACGTTTCGATCATCATTGTCCTTGGATATCGAATTGTGTCGGATACTTTAACCATCGATATTTCGTTTTGTTCATGACGTATTTGGTGTTTGGGTGTTTTTACTTTATAGCAATTGGTTGGAAACCGTTTATAAAGAGTATTGATATTCTTGATGAATATAATGAGGTGAGTATCTTTTTAGATTTTATTGGTTTGGGGACGAGTGGAAAAAGATTTATACTGTGCATCTTTCTGTCATCATGTATTTAATAATGTTTGACGATTTGATTTGATTTGTTTTGGTAGTGGGAATCTTGGATGCCGAAACCTTGTATGGCTTTATCTTACTTATTGGCATTCTCTATGGGCTTAGCATTAGGTCAGATTTTTTTTTAAGTATAAAATTTATTTACTTGAAATGTGTATGATGAAAAATCAATCAATTGCTCAAAGCCTTCTCTCTTTATCTCGCCAATATAAAAATTATTTCGATTAAATAGGCGGAATGTGTTCTTGGCATTATTATCTGGTTAGCTTTTTCTTCTGTTTCTTCTGTTATTTTATTGTTTTGCAAGTAGATTGATATAAATTTTATTATAGATTATCACATCACAGACAACTGTAGAATTCTATAACAACCAGCATGCAAAGAAATTGGCGAGACAGAAAGGCGAGGTAATCCCAAATTAGATTCATGGAAATTTTTGAAGATCAAAAATAGATTGTCATCTTTAATATGATTATTTTTCTATTCAAGGTTTTCGTTAATCCGTATAATCTTGGCGCGTTGAATAATTTACGACATTTTTTTAATGTTGGAAGGAACTAGTAAGTAATTAATAAAATTCATGTCGTAATTGTTTGATTCTATCTTTCTAATTTCTTTTTTTCTATTTAGCAAATAGTAAGTTCCCACGACGAGATATTGAAAATAGGAAATTTAATATCCTATTCACCTAATATATTCCTCTATTCTCTAGTCCTGTGTACACAATCTTTTTACCGATACCGGTGTCACCAACCGGGAACGGCAAAATCTGGGAAAAGAACGTGAATCATTACTCGTCGGTTAATATTACTGAGTATTCTGAAGAGGATGACGATGAGTCGAATTAATTTACGAAATAGATCAGAATATAGATTACTGAATCTTTGAATCGGGTTCAAAGTAAGTTTAATTTTTTATTTTATTCTACTTTGATTGATCAATTCGAATATTGACAAATTTTTTGTAGTTTTCTTTTGTATATAATAACATAATTGGTATTAGATTTTTCCCTACAGAAATCATTTTTAAGTAATTCGTTCGTTTATATATTATTATGCATGCATTATTTTAATATTCCCTTCGTTTTATTTAATAAAGATTCTTGATCAAATTCTCAATACTGGTCCAACTCGCAAAGCCAAGCTATAATTGACTGTTTCCAGTTTTCATTAATATAATCCTAGATTTTACTTTAACAATAATATATTTATTTACATTATGATAGACAAAATCCTATTGATACACGGTTAACCATACCACTTTCCAACTGTATATTCTTTCTTTTCTCTTGTGGGAATAACACTTTTTTTGATATCATATATTTCAACGAGTTGCTTTTGTTTATTATTTTAGAATGGCAATTAGTTAAGCATGAAAAAATAAAACATCTCAATCAAATGACTTACTTTCCAAAGAGCCATATCCATCTCCAAGACAACTTGCTTTTTGATCAGCCCGTTCTCGTAGTCTTCAGCAGTTGCCGATTCACATCGTGCTGCGTATTTAAAATTATCGAGAATCAATGATGTCGCAAATAAAATCCATCGGAGATGAAGTGAACTCACATAAAACTGGCTGTCCGTCCTCATCTTCTATACTAACTTGACCATCGCGCACCAGAAATGATAAATAAAACATATTTTCTACCGTCTGACTGAATGATTCAGGATTTATTATTAATTCAATAAAATTTATTGGCTGTTTTTCTTGAATTACATCAGCAAGCATTTTGACATTTCGCGTCGTTTCATTCTCCTGTCTTTCGATATCTCGTTCTTTCATCTATCAATCATATAAAAATTTCACTATTAAATCCAATCTCATTCAATTACACAAGTAACTCTTGGAAATACGGACACTTATAGGAGTTTTGAGATCCTTTTCATCTTTTTCTATTCGTGCGGATGCTTTTCCCTTTACTCTTTCTTTTTGTTCGATTGATAGTGGGCCAAGCCTAATAAGAATTTATATTTTATTAAGATATACTGAACAAAATAAACGTCAACTCGAGAGAAAACTCACATAAAGTCCACTGATGGGACACGATTGGTATGTCGTGCAGCAACCTTACCAAGACCTAACCAGTCTAAGTGACCATCATCTTCCTCTCCACGTGTCTGTTGTTCTCCTCCCATAAAATTTACCAATTTAGCAATATAATCATCCGTGTCAAAAGCGTTGCTGTCAACCTTCATACGACGCGCTTTTTGGACACTTAAATCTCCTGAAAGGACCAAAATACGAGAGTCAAGGATTGCCTCATGCGTGTTTCTCACTAAAAAATTTATGCAGAAGGTTGAATTTAATGATTAACACACGAATTTAGAGAATTCATTTCATTGGATTTACTTACCTTTCTTGTATAAATTATTTGCTTTCGCTAAAGTCTCTGATAGTCCATTGGAATCAGCTTTTATATAATCTTGTCGATTTTCTAATATGAATTAAGAAATCAATTTTTGGTTAATGTGCTCAAGTTTGTGTAATCACAGGAAATTCCAGTTTTCAATAATCACCTTCAGTGGAAGTGATTAGATTTCTATACTCTTTTCTTATCGTTCGCTTTTCATTTTTATCTTGCTCAGGATCATATACATTCCGGCGTTTAGCTTTTTTACGAGGGGGTAACTGCTGTCGTTGAACACTTTGATCTTCGTCACTAGAGTTCTCGTGTCCATCAGTCTCTTCTTCCATTCCGTTTTCTTTGTCTGAAACACGAATAGCTGATATATTTGAGCCTATGAATGGCATTTCTTTATAAAGAGGAAAATCTTTGGCTTTTATTTATAGAAATCGCCTTTAAAATCTTATAGAATGCAAAGTATTATGGTTTCTTTCTTTATTGACGCGTTAAGTTTCCAACTTTCTTTGTTTATAATGCTATTATTATTATATATATGTATATATATATATATCGTAAATTTTGTTAATCCAACACGTTCGCGTTCGAACCGGATTAATTTGTGCAACCAAATACATATATATATATATATATATTGTCAATCTTTTTGTATTTTTTCACCTTGATTTCCTGTTTGAATGCAAGGTTCTACTGCCTTCTTGTCATCAACAAGTTACTCGTTCTCCAAAAATATCCGGCACATTAATTTCTGGCTTTAGTTTCTTAGTGGAGAGCACTTGGAATATCTTTTTCAATTGCGCACGTAAACGACTCGCAGTATCTAATCTTTCACGAGATCAGTTATATTATTGGCGGCAATTGAAGAAGTTTGTCTGCGTTGGCTTCGAGAAAAAGTACTGTCTTATAATAACGTACGATGAAAAAGGGTTATATTCTTTCTAATCACTATGAAACAAAAACATCTTTTCTGTGAAGCTAATGTCACGTGGTGAAGCAATATGATAACTGTAAGAGGAAAAGAATAGTATTTACAAAAAATAAGATAGTCGCTGGATGTGTCGTTATTTAATTACGGTGAATTGCTAATTACTGCGTCATAAACTGATATAACAAAATCAAATAAAATAATGGAAAAAGATGACATGAATAGTAATCGAATTGCCAATCTAGAATCCAAAATGGAAATGAAACAAAGCGAGGATCTTGAACATTGTCTTTGTGCAAATAAAGTTCATAAACTTCCCAATAATACTTTGATCCATTTTCCAAAATATCAATAGTAGTACGATAGTTATGATCTCCATATTCAAAAAACCAGTTCATTGGATGCGGAATGTTTGTTAATAATTCTAATTATACTACCGGAAAAAAACGACTCTCCAAAAATTAAACTTTTTGAATTCCAATAAAATTTGTATTGTAAAAACTTCCACAGGATTAAATGAATAATTATTTCGAGACCCTTCATAGTGAGTGTCTACATATCATTCAAGAAATGAAGCTTATCACTGTTGGAATGAGTGAGACGTCTTGCACAATCATCATCCAAAAGAATTCATTATAATAATGATGATAAAGGAACAATAAAAAAATGAACTTTCCTCCCGATATCACATACAAATACTTGAACCCACTTTCTGAAAGTTACATTTCACTATGTTCAGATTGACGATCATACGATAAGATGCTCATACACTTCCATTCACCATCTGCGGCTAAAGAAAATTTTATAATTAATGTATTTTAAACTTCAAAAAAAAAAACTCCAAATTTGTGTATTAAAATATTACCTTTCCATAATCGAACTTTTCCGTCATCACCTGAAGATGATAATATTGTGCCTGTAACATTCCATTCCACTCTCCAAACCTTGTGCGGATTTTTATTAACATTTGTTATTTGAACAAATTCTTGATCCTTTACTATATGAAAATGAGAACTTATAGACTTTTACCTCTACATTGTGATCGCGAAAGCTACACAGAAGCTCAGCGAGATATCTTGTCCGATCAGACGTAATTTTATAGATTCTTACGTGTTGATCCTTTGAGGCAGTTGCGATCAATTGATAACTCCTAATAGATTTAATTTAAATCTAGATAAGCTAATTTTGGTAATTCACCTCAGAGAAAAGAAAATAATGTGGAGACACAAGCCTTCCCATGGTGGGTGCCCAGCTCACATCATGTACAGTATCTTCATGACCTGATAAAACTTCATAAGCTTGCCACTTGCTTTGTCCATCCTGTCGAAATATCTGAGCAGCGATACAAAAATGATAATTTAAACTATATATCTAATATTTATTTATTTTCAACACAGAATAATCAGTCACCTTCGCCTCTTTGCCACATCCTACAACCATCATCGGCGGATTAAACCGCGACGGACACCATGAAATACAATAATGCCCATCAACTTCTTTGGTTATGCTCCCCGGATTAATTTCAAATTCGTCCATACACGTATAATCTTCGAGATTTGTCACTTCAAGGAATTCATATATCCGAACAATCCCATCAGCTGCACAAGCTGCCTATACAAAGAATTCCATTCTAACTAAATAAATATTCTCTAAGCATGAATCATTCAACTTACCAATTTCAATCCTAGAATATTGGGTGCAAATTCAATATCTTGAACGGATTTTAAACTATCCTGTATACGCGCCCGCTGAACAAATCGTCTCCCACTATTTCTGGGTTCTACAAAGGATCAGATCAAGCGAATTATCATTTATAAACAGATTTTTATTATTATATTACCATTTTCTTGTTCCTCCCAGATACAAACGCTTCTATCGAAAGAACATGAAGCCAACACCTGCCCAAATTCAGGATGAGCCCACGTAACTTTAAGAATAGAACAATCGTGCGCCTTAAAAAGGTTATCTTGAGTTTAATAATATTATTAATAGTCATCCCGCTTAATAATTTGTAAAATTGTACCTTCCAAGTATCTACAGTTTCCCAACTATTCATTTTAGAGTTATGCTCCCAGACTTTAATTCGTTGGTCAGAGGAGCAGGTGGCCAGACGCTTTCCATAAAAGTCAAAGGCGACATCGTGAATTAAATCCTCGTGTCCAGTATCAAAGATGTTTGCCGACATTTGAAAAAATAGAATACGATAACAATCATGCTCGGACATTTTGAATAGAATACAACAATTTTCGTGACGTCATCTTTTTTTCATAAAAGGCAATCAATCTTTACGCGTTTTTTCATTACACGATGTTTGTAGGAATTATTGGTCCTCTTTGTGCTGGCAAGCATAGCGTCGCGAAATGGCTCATTTCTAATGGTTTTGTCCACCTCGGTCTAAAGCAACGCGACCAGACTGGTTTAGAAACGGTATTCTTTGATAAAAGTGAAGACATTTTGAATTATGTTACGAAACATTGGGCGAAAAATTTCGTGATTTGCAACATCGAGAGCATGAGAACTTTGGAGATGTTTAAGTACTATTTGCTACAATTTATGATAAAAAATTTTATGAACACCAATGGTTGATTGGATGAGTAAATTGGTCTCTGTCTTTTTCTTCTTGATAGGAAAAGACCTTTCTTTATGCTGATCGCAGTAGATAGTCCAATAACAACCCGATATATACGCTATGTAAATCGGTAAAGATCTCGTTTTATCATAAGTATACTTTTAAAATGCTAGCTAATTATGACATCATTTGTAGGTGTCGTGAGACTAATAATAGCGAACCAACAATAGAAGAGTTTATAACACGAAGTGATTGTGAACTTTACAACATTGCATACCCTATAATAGATCCATCAGCTCACATGAACATAACTATATGCGCAAATCTTAATAATCATCAGTGTCTAAAATCGCCAATCATTAACATGATGCAGATGGCAAATTTGAATGTAATCAATTCGTACAATTCCCTTTTCTCTTTATACGAATATCTTCAAAAAATTAATGTAATCAACGAGGAACGCTTAAGACCTTCATGGGATACTTATTTTATGCGGATGTCTGATCTTGCGGCTAGTCGATCTAATTGTATGAAGAGAAAAGTTGGATGCATATTAGTGAAGGATTGTCGCGTGGTAGCCACTGGTTATAATGGCACCCCCCGTGGAATTAAGAATTGCAATGAGGGTGGCTGTCAACGATGCAATGATGCGGTTCCGTGTGGACTTGATTTGGATGTTTGCTTATGTCTCCATGCGGAAGAAAACGCATTGTTGGAAGCAGGACGAGATCGAGTCAGCAGCGGGTGTATTTTATATTGCAACACGTAAGTAATCACTTATCTTTCTCATTATCACAATAGGTTCGAATATTCATCTAATTAAATTTCCATTATTTCATCATATTCAGATGTCCTTGCCTAAGTAAGTTCAAAACCATTAATTTGAACTGGACAAATTCATTCTTTTCGTTTATCTTACTATCTATCATATACATACAGGATGTACAGTGAAACTAGTACAAGCTGGTGTCAAAGAAGTGGTCTACAATTTGTGAGTTTTGTTTGTTTGTAACACTTATTAATGAAGATACACAACTTATACAAGCCTCTTTTCCTCATCCTCTACTAGATCATATGGAATGGATGATAAAACAGCAAAACTTTTAAAAGAAGCTGGGGTAATATTGCGACAACACACCGCGAAAAATATATGTGATTACTGAGAATTATATCGAGTTGTTTTTATTACTCAAATTTATTTAGAATGATATCCTTTTTATTACTCGATATAAGAAAAATAAATAAATAAATAAATAGGTAAATAAATAAATATCGTGAAAATGAAATCGAAAACCTGATTCGATTTGTCATTATTATTATTATATTGTATTATATTATATTATATAACAACCTTGTAAATGAATACTAATCTACCGATTACCCGAATACTTTTTACTGTATATAAATCCCAGTCTATATAAAAAACGCGTCAAGATGTACAATAAAATTAATCAATAATAAAGCGTAACATAAATAACGGAAAGTAATCTACAAGTTTAATCATATGTCATAGAGGGTGGTTGTGAATTGTTATGCGGAAGGATGTGTAAATGTTATGAAAGCGAATATAATGATTAGGCGAGAAAGAGTATAGGGTAAAGGTGTAGGTAAAAATGGTGCTAGTGATGATGATAGTTTGTTGGGAGGGTGCTTCGTTGAGGTAACGAGGGTGTGGTAGATAACAAGGTAAAAAGCGAAGAAAAAAATAAAAACTATTCACATTACAAAAATGGTTGGAGTTAAAAAAGAAAAATTGGCCCGAGCATTAAAAATTTAGAGCTACACATAAGAAGACAAATTCATCGGAAAAAAGAACAAAAAAACTATTAAGCCCGGCTTAATTACATCCACATGGACACTACTTGCCGCCGACGATTGTTTCCGTGGTTGTAATTATTTTTATGGTTTTTGTTATTTTTGTGTTTCTTCGGTTTGGTGACAGTCTTCCAGCCTTCATTCTCATCCGCTGGTTTATTAGGCTCTGCTGCAGCATTACTCGCATTGGAATTCTTTGTTGCGGTAGAGACATTAGGAGTTTTAGTCAGGATGGGAGTCGATGGAAGAGATGGCGTTGTTGGCGCTGTGTTGATTGTGACATTGGTTGAGCGTGATGATCTGGAACTGATCGAAGATTTTGTTGAACTTGTACTTGTTGTTCGAGACCGGAAACCATTCGAGGATATTTCAGCTGCCATTTCTTCTAATGATTTCTGTAGACGGGCATTATCCGTTCGTAATTGTTCAAGTTCGTGTTTTGCTTCTTCGATTTCGCGCGCTATTAAAGAGTATCCTTGATCGTTATTATCCAAGCGACAAGTCAACACTAACTACTAGAAAGCTATTAACTATTAATTATCAAGTGAAAATAACACTTACTTTGTGATTGCATTTTTTGACGTAATTTTGCATTTTCTGCTTCAATTTCATGGTGTTTCTTTAAATCTTCGCCTGTTAATAAGCAATTAATTGTTTCGTTTAGAAAAAGAATTAAATAGAAAAAAATAAGACGATAGGAATGAAATAATAGAAAAAATACCCTTTTTCTTTGTAAGATTCTTGTTTTCACTTTGTAATTGTTTTATTGTCTGAGCATTTGCTGTAATTTGTTTCTTTTGTCTCTCGAGTTGTATTTTACTGGTATCAGTTTGATTTTTTAGGTTGACAATTTCAGCTCGAAGTGAATCTGCTAGTGTATGTGATTCTTCTTCTTTATTTTGCAATGCTAGAGCGTAAGCTTCGTCCTTTGATGCTAATGCGGCTTTTGTGCGAGAAAGTTCAGAATTCGAGGTTGATAATGAAGATTTTGTCTCATCCAAAGTGCGATGAAGTTCACCCAGTTGAGACGTGAGCTCTTGGAATGCCTTTTGGCTAATTTGTAAATCACGTGTCGCTTCATTACGTGACGCATCGGATTTTTTTAGTTCTGCTTTAGTTTGTTCGAGTTCATGTTTCATTTGAGCAAGTTGTGCAGGAGCGTCTTTAGCCGCAGATTTTGCTTCTTCAAGTTCTCGGTTCAATTGAACAATCTGAGCTGAATAATCTTTATTTAATGCTTTGATTTCTTCAAGTTCTTGTTTTGTGAATACAAGTTGATTAGACAGTTCGAGTAGTGTCGATCGGGTTTTTTCGATTTCTCGATTTGCCTCGCCAAGATCGTTGCGAGCATCCTTGAGAGAAGATTTAGTGGTATCCAATGCACGATTTGATTCTTCAAGTTGGGCAAGTGATTCATTCAATTGATTTCGCGAATTGTTTATTGCAACTTTCGTTTGTTCCAATTCAAGTTTGGCGCTTTCAAATTGTTTCTTTGTGGATTCGTAATCTGCTTTTGTTTGTTTTAATTCTAGACCGGCTTTAGTAAGCTGTGCTTTCATGTCTTCAAGAGCTTTATCTTTGGTTCGGAAAGCACCATTCACATTTTCTAGGGTTGCTTTCGTTTGCTTTAACAAAGATTGGGCATCTTCAAGTGCCTTATCTTTGTTCTGAAGCGCGATAGAGGCCTGTTTATGGGCGTTCTGTGCGTCTTCTAACGATTTATCTTTAATTTGAAGAGCATTGTTAGCTTTTTGTAGGGTAAGTTTTAATTCTTCGAGGTCGGCTTTTGTTCTTTCCAAACGATCTTCAGTCCTCCTGAGGAGGGATTCTTTTGAAATGAGGGAAGAATTTTTACTCCGGAGTAAGGAATTGGATCTTTCAAGTTCGTCGATAGTGGAGGTCAACCTCGTCTGGAGTTCTTGAATGGTTTCCCTTGCACGTGCCAAGTCAGCCTGTAAAGAGTCAGTTACCTGACTAAGCTGTTTCTTGGCGTCGACTAGCTCGTGGTGGGTGGCGTCAAGCCGGTCTTTGGTAGCTTCGAGTTCTTTTTTCACGTTCGCTTCGCCGCTTCTAAACCTTTCAACCTCGTTCTTTAAATTCGCAACGCTTTCGTTGTCAACTTGGTGTTTCTTAGCTTTAATGCTCCATTTGCTATGCCAACCGTCGCTTTTTACCTTTGTGGTTGTAGTCGCCTCCTTGTTTATTTCCTTGTCCGTCGTCGTCGTGTTGGCGGAACTGTTCTTCTTGCTGAATAATCTCGTCGGAGATAATATATTTTTCGTTTTCATTTTTTTAATTTTTAAATATTATAAAAAAAAAGAGAAAAGCGAGTCGTAAAAAAAAACAACTTTGCTTGCTATTGTATTTTTATCAATATTCTAGTCTGTCAAATAAAAAAATGAATAATAATAACAACAATGACGAATAACAATAATAAAAAAAGAGGGAAAAAGAAAAGGAAAGAAATCTTTTAATTAAAAAAAAATAAACAATTAAAAAAATCAAACTAAATTAACGATAAAGGAATGAAAATATAGCACCCCAACACACCAAATAAAGATGAAAACTACTAGGGAAAAAGAGGGAGCAAACGGGAATTGACAAGAAAAGTAAAAGTTGGTGGTGGATTAATGATGGGACGGGGCTGTGAGTGAATGGATATTGCGGTTTAGTGTTGCACGCGTCTGTTATTTTTTTTTTATTTATTGGTGTGACGCTAGAACGTTAACTATTTCAAATTTCATCATTACCATAATTACCATTCATTCATACAAACTACTGAAGATAAAATTTATAAATGGGTCGCTTGTGATTGTTTGTATTCCATTTTGGAATATTAAATATTTTTATTTGGGTAATACACAATAAAAAAGTGTGGAGACACAACAATAACGATAGCAACAACAATAATAGCATACACACAAGAATGTGAAACAACATCTATGATGCATCTAAAAAGTAGCCTCTACATTTTGCGTGACAAAGAGAAGAATATTATCAAGCACCAACGAAATTCCGTTATAGGATAATTTAATACTTTTTGAGTTACTTTTTCAACTATTATTACACTCTATGATTATTACGAACGAATGAATTATGCATATTATTATTATTACTTTGAACAGTACAGCACGTACAGTACAGATAGTACCATGGTATTCATATGGTAGTAGAACAAAGAGACACAGGTGTTTTCAATAAGCATTATACTTTATTTGTAAGTAAGTGGCAGAACAGAAGAACAATCGAACTTGAATTTTAACGAAAAATCATAGTTTATTTTAGGTGTTGTTTATGCATCTATAAATGCACGAATAACCTTAGGAAAGATGAAACCGATACGTATATCAATATGTGTGTATAAAAATAAGGTGTAAAGGGGCGATTTTTAGGTTTGGTTGGCTGAGCGTAAGAATTTTATTAAAAGCACAATGAACTATACAGTAAAAGTGTCGGTGTATAGTCAATGATGTATTTTGACACATAAATTAAAACATATGAAATTAAGATGATCCATTTGAGTTTATCGTTATCGTCGATAACCATAAAATTAAAATGTAACACAAATGTGAAAGGAACATTGACAATGATTAATGCAATAAGTTTTGTTATTGTTTTTTGTGGATCCTCATCAGAAAGATATTAGCGATCATGTCGTAAATTAGGCCCCATGAATTTTGTGAAGTTTTTTTACTTTGGATGTTTGATAATATCTTCTACTTCTGAATCATTAGTGAAGAGAGTTTCGAATAATAAGATGCTTACATGCCATTGGTAACGGTAAGTTGAAGCATCATACTCAATCTATAATCGTGACTAATCAGCTCGAACAAACTTACATTTGATGTTTCTAGAAATATTTGACTTTATGTGTCGTTGTAGTAGTGATTTGACTTCTTAGCTAATGCCGTGACAGTAGACACACTAATTTATTGTTTTAAGTGTTGGTCAAGAATCCAGTGTTTGAAATCTGGTTCTCGCGTTCTCATGAGAACAAGGATCCGGGATTGTGCACGTTGAGTTGAGAAACAGTGTTCTCTATTTGTTTGATTTTTGTGCACATCAAAGTAAAAATCGAGTGCACTACTATTCTGATTTCATGAATCTAAAAAACAATGAGGCACCTTTTCCATCTGGCCTTCAACTGTCTTCGGAATGAAACTTATAACCAATTACATTTTCCAAACATCTTAAGAGATTTCTTTGTACCATCATTATGGCAAAGACACCAAGTCGGAGAGGAGGCTAAGCGAAATTCTCGTGTACCGTAATGTCGATTCTCAAGTAGATCTGTTCTATTTAATCGACGATTAAGTTTCCCACATCTGAAAATAGACATTTAACGTTAAATGGAACTGATATGGCAGTAACGGTAATTGATTTTCAACCCAAAATCGATTCTCGAACACAAAGTAAGTATGACGATAACAGCAATAACCAAATTTCAAATTGCCTAATCTGTAACTCATCCAATAGGAGTGCGCAATTTTGTCAATAACCAATAAGAATGCATAAATTTTTGATCGACCCGGTAAAGCAAATCCGACTCAAAGCGATGAAAAAAAGTGATATTACAAGAAAACTGATGCATAAATCTGTCTTGGACTATTAATTAGAAATGTCGGGAAGGCAATTTTACATATAATCTTGCTTCTTCACACCCTTACCATGACTCTAATCGGATGTAATGAAAATTCAGAATCCAAATTAGGAAATTTGAAATTTGGTTCAGTAAAACTGATCCAATAATGACGATGACAGCGATGACATAACTGGTCTTTAGTTTTGTTTTTCATTGCATATTGATTTTTTTCCCTTTTCGTTGGAATAGTTGAAGTTGTACTTTGATTAGTTGAAATTATGGCTTTGATTAGTTGAATTCGTAGAGATACTATGTGGTATAGAATCAATTGAAGTATTGTCATCAGATTGAGAATCCGATCAATATCAGTTGCTTTTGGCTATCAGAGTTATTAAACTTTATATTGGCAATTGTTTCTTGGTTATTATAAATATTAACATTGTTGTGTTGTTGAATGACAGAGTAGTACATAGTTTGTGCGTTATATCATTTCACAAGTGAAAATCGTGATTTTCCAATTGTATGTATCACATACACAATTTATTCATTATCATTATCGTTATTATCGATTTTGTCTTTAAAATCGATTCTCAAATATTAATCGATTCTAAGAATCGATTTCCTCAATTCTACAAAATTAATCGATTCTAAATTAATCGATTCTAAATTAATCGATTCCTATCCCTAACCGATGCTTATAAATATTGGT